TGTGTGTGTGTGTGTGTGTGTGTGTGTGTGTGTGTGTGTGTGTGTGTGTGTGTGTGTCAGAACACTGGCCTCACATGCACACCCCTGGGCTGTCCCCAGCACTGGGGGAAAGGGGAAGGGAAGGGGAGGGGTTAGGAAGTTGGGAGACTCTAAGGTATGTAATATATTTAGGATGGCATCTCTAAATTGCCAAATTTTATTTTACTTCTTATACATTTTACTGTTTACATGTTTGTGAGATCCAATGTCTTAAGAATATCAGATTTTTAAAAATACAGATTATTGTAAGACTGTGATTTCAGTTTTAAACAGCAAAAAAAAAAAAAAAATGTTTTCTTACCTTGTTGTACCTTCAAACTAATAAACAGTAAGGGAATTAATTTTCTAAGTCCTTTAGAAAATTAGAACAACATGAGCAAGGCCAGACCTGACGTTTTGTTAGATGACTCTTTAGCTGTGATTCTGCAATGTGTATTGTGTACACTTACTCTAGTAAGGAGACCTCCAGGTCTGAAATAGTGATAACAAAATTGGAACTGGCTAGTACTCAACCTTGGACAGTGCTAAGCTTACACTGTCCTGAGGTTCCAGAGAGACCAGCGCTGCGTGTGAGCTGACAGTGTCACCTGCAAGTGCTGCTCTTTGGCCCCTCGTGACCTAGAGCCACAGGCTTTCTGAGGACCCACTGGTTGGGGCTGCGGCTGGTCTGGAACTGTCCTAACTCTTTTCTTTGATGTCTGTGTTCCTTTTCCCAAAGCAGGAGCAACCATCAGGGTAACAGGTACCTGAGTGTTTATCACCTTCCATGTGCTGTCCATCTGTCTCCCCAGCTCTAGATGTATGAGGCTTTCCCTTCATACATCTAAAGTTCCACAAGTTTTAAATCCACTCCTCCACATTAATGAATTCTATTACCATACCATAAACTCATACCTACTTTTTTTTTCTTAGTATTTTGGATTTTTAGGAACTGTTTTAGTTCTTGCTAATGCCTTACCTTTTTTTTTTTTTGCTTTGTTTTCTATGCAAATTAACAAAACTAAAAAGTATAATTTCAAAAAGGCAAACAATTTGTATATGAAAGCCTGTTTGGCTAACCCACTTTGGTTCTTGGTTTTAACAGTGGCATAATTATATAAATGCAAAATCCAATTGTTTTTTCCTGAGGTTTCTCTTTGGGAAGTCTTTTTTCAGATAATTTTAGGAGTCAGATTCTTTTTGGTAAGAAAGAGTTGATGATTTAGGTTAAAAGTAATAATATTTTAAAAGCCCTTCCAACACCTTTCTCTGTAAAAGCACCTCTGATGTCATCACAAATTCCCAAATCCTGCATAGATGGAAAGTTAATTACAGTGTGGTGGATGCTGGTATGGGTCTCACTGTCATTTCCAAGCTGATCTTACTTGAGCCCTGCTCGTTCCAGTGGCTGGGCTTCTCCAGCCAGCTTCTGGGTGAACAAGGGATTTAGGAGTGACTGCAGTCTTTATGGCTATGAAGTTAACACTCAATACTCCTCTCTGGCTCTCAGCTTATGGCCAGTACTGCTCAGAGCACAGCTTCTTTTGGATTTTAGAATTTTTAGAATCAATGTTCATAGAACATGGAGTGCCCCCCCCATTTAAATAATCCTTGCCTTTATCTGTCTATCATTAAAAAACAACCTTTGAAAATTCACTTTTCCAAAAACAAAGAAGGGAACAAACTCCATGTACAGCTTTTGAATTTATGAATATGTTTATAATTAGCTTTTATTCATAAAACTGAATTTGTGTAGGGAATTTAGGTGAAAATATAGCCTCATAGATGGGTGTTGGAAGTTTATTACGCATATTTACTAAATGCTCTTCGCATATAAGCTTAAGTTTGTGTTAAAATTTAAAAGAACAGGATATAAACAAACACATTGTGTTATATAATCCTCTTTCTTACCATTTCAAAAATTGAATGCAAGAAATTATTCCATCACATTTCTTTGAGATTTAAAACATAAATTTAATAAAAAGGATTTATTTAATTACAAATTCTTCAAGAACATAATTTTACTTATTTCACCCTATTTATTAAACCACCAAAGTAAAAACCTATAGTTACTTTTTAGTTTCTAAATTTGTATAGTTGCTCAAGAAAAGAAGAAATAGTAAAAAATAAGTATTAATAAATAAGAACCAGTCATTCAGTGTTCCTTCTTTTCCAGGTAAAAACAAATGGAGTCTCTGGTGTCAAACAAGAACCAGCACTGAAGAGTGATCCATTTGCAGCTCTCTCACTTAGTCTGCTTGCTGTATCAAAGGCTCAGCTGTCTGATCAGACCTCACCTGTTCTAACCCCAGACCCAAAGATGTTGAGTCAGTTGCCTTCTTCATCGCAAAGTAGTGTTAACTCTTTCAGTTCTGTATGTTGCATGCCAGCCATGCCTCCAGTTCCAGCTCAGCTGTCTGATCAGACCTCACCTGTTCTAACCCCAGACCCAAAGATGTTGAGTCAGTTGCCTTCTTCATCGCAAAGTAGTGTTAACTCTTTCAGTTCTGTAAGTTGCATGCCAGCCATGCCTCCAGTTCCAGCGCGGAGCAAGTCACAGGGAAGTATGGAGGAGAACTTTGCAAACCGGTTTCCCTGCCTGCCCAGCAGGAACCCTTTTACAGACAGGACTGATGCCCCTGGAAACCCATTTAGAGTTCAGTCTCAAGAATCAGAGGCAGCCTCTGGGCTGTCCAAAGAAGAGCCTGTTCCTGACAGCCCTCCTTTCCCTCCTCTCATGCCTCTCAGTCAGGACACGAGCAAGCCGTCAACTTCACTTGATGGTTTTGAGGACAATTTTGACCTGCAGAGCCAGCCTACAGTAAAAGCAAGCAACCCCAAAGGATGGGTAACCTTTGAGGAAGACGACAATTTTCCTACAGCAGGGAAGTCCCAGTCAATGTGCTCATCATTTGATGATGACTGGAATAAAAGTGCAAATGTTTCCTTCTGGGTGTTGCCAGCCAGAAGACCACCACCTCCTCCTGTCCCTCTGCTCCCACCCAGCACAAGTTCACCCTCTGCAGAATCTTGCACAGCCCTGGCATCTAAGGGGTCTCCCACACTGGACTTCACAGAACGATAGTTACCTGACGGGAAGGGAGCTTGTGCTAGTTTGCTTTGGCTGTTTGATTCTGTTCTGTTGAGGGTAGAGTAGGGAGAATGGGGCATTAGTTATTCTTTATGTGCAATAAGTGATCATTAAGTGCACTGATAGTTATATAAACACTAGAGGGTGTGGGCAGAGCTGGGGTTTGTATATACTGGAAATAACAAAGACACCCTCTTATTAACTGGAGTTCTGGTCTTTCTCTTTAGATGAATAGGAGAGAGCAGGAGCCATTTTTAAAAAGTGCTTAAAACTACTTTAAAAAATAGTCCTTACTCAGAAATTCACATAAAAATCACATAAGGCCAACACAACTATAGCTGACATTGCTGCCAGCCACTGTGCTGTTGACAATTGGTATTCTTGGGTATTTACCAAAGAGCTTCCAGAGTTATGGTGGAACAGTTCTGAAGGCATTACTTCAGCAAAAAGGTCTGTGTGTGTACACATTATATGTATATGTTTGTGTACACAGAGACATACATGTAGACATTTACATATTTATAAAACTTAAGTCTTGAGATACAATTCAGATCAAATTTTACCAGCAGCTCTGACAGTGTCCTTTTTTCAATATCTCATTATCAAAAAGATGGCTGCCACTTGGCTGTGCTTCACGCACTTTGACTGATTTTAAATCCCAGAGCAGAGTATCCGCTTTATAGAACTGCCATTTTTATTATTATATACTCCAGCCCTTCAGATTCACCCTCAGTACTTCCTCCCCTGTACCTCTGTTCTGCCTTTCTCTGGCAGGTTACAGTTGGCAGTATAGACAGCTACTCAGGACAGGAGGCACACGCCACCAAGTTCAGTGTGGAATAGTAGAGCTACGCTGTTGTAGTCCTCTCCCTTACCCTCTTTCTGTTTGCTGCTTTGCCCTGGAGCTTTGCTTTCAGCTGGGAAAGCAGCTGTTGAGGGCTCTGGATTGGGAACACATCCCATATAAGAGGCCATCACACATCTATGATGCTGCTTTAAGGTTTCAGAGGCTATACCTCACATTTGCTGTGGATTTTGTCTTCTGCACTGCCGGTATGTAACCGATCCTGCTTTTATTAATTTTGTGAAGAAGTACACAGAATTTTTACAAAAAAAAAAAAACACATAGTATTTTGATATTAAGTAAGCCAGTTGGGAAACTCCCTAAGGTGTTGTTGGGTTGGTTGTCAGTTGAAGTTAAAATCATCCTTACCCATTAAGACGTGATGTTCTTTTTATATAAAAAAGTTACATGCGTACATGCAAGTTCCTATGTCCATATGAACCTTTAAAGATGTGTATTGTGAGACTAGAAACAGTTTGTGGCTGCCATCACTTCTGTGTAAAAGCACAGCGTACTGCGTTACGCTTCTAATGTAGAGTGATGTTAGGACAGCAAATGCTCAGTGTTATCAAAATACTGTATGTATAGAAGTAATCCCCTGCTACAGCCAGAGTTGCTGTAAGCAGTCACTCCCGTGAGTTTTATATTGTGCTTGTTGGGGTTCTAATCATTTCAGCCATAGTAGCTTTTAAACCGCAGTATTACTATAGAAGTGTGCTTCAAAATGTGACTTAACCTGTTGAGATTGTGGCTGTAACATCTTTGTGACTAGTGTGTATGGTATCCACTCCCTCATAGCAAACTAATCCATCATTAAGAAACCCAAGCAGTGTGTCCCTTGGGTGTAAACCACTGTAAAGTCTGTAGAGTAGCAGCTCAGCCTTGTCAGGTCTGGCACACTGCTGAAAACGCACAAAGGAAGTGAAAGTTTGCTACAAAAAAAAAAAAAAAAAAAAAAAAAAAAAAAAAAAAAACAGGACATTGTGTGTGAACATTTACTGGCTCTGGTCAAAACAGAGCAGAAAATAGACACTAAGAATCTCTGTGAATGTCTGTTCTCTATAGTAGACTGCTGTTTATATGTATGTAAGAGTTTTATTGCTTATGTGGCATACAATATTTATAACTATATACTTTATAGAAGTACAGTATTAAAGTTGGTGGTATACATTCTGTACATATCCTGTGAAATGTGCTCTCATATGAAATAAATATATGTCTTTACCACTAGCTGCTTCTTTAAAGGGAAGTTTTTTCTTGGCCATTTTTTTTTTATTTTACCTATGCAGATTTCATGACATTTGGAGAAGATAAGTTAGCGATTTGTTCTTTGTGTGTGTGTGTACATCATACATGCGTGAGTAAGTAGTTTATTCTGGAGTCAAATTTGAATGGCCATGGTCGATTTACCCCAAACTCCATGTTCTGCCACGGAAAGCACTAAGTCTCAGAGCTCTATACAACAAAAGCCATAAGGCATGGCAAGTTTCGGATACATTGATGGGTACGTCAGAGGGGCAGCTACAGAATGTTTTCCAGGTTTTTCTGTAGGCATCAGATAATATTTGATGACACTTTTAACTTTTGCTTAGTGGAAGCTTAGTTTATAGATTTCGAAGGTTTTAGGGATGTTAGTTGTGACCCAAAGGAGAGGCAATGGTCTGGCGCTAAGGCTAGCAAAGACAGGACCTGCTACATTCCATCGCTTGTAGTGGTGTAGTGCTACACCACTACAGAGGCAGCTTCCTTTTCCCACGTACAAGTATAATACAAAGCGCCAACACACAAAAACCACAAAGAAAAAACAACCCGCCATTTAGCCAAACTATGAGTTTGGAATCATTTCAAGGCTACATAGCAGTTTCCCTCTGTTTATTCCTCTATTGGAATTTCCTGTGTCCGTTTGTTTTTGTTTCCCCTTGGACCCTCAGCTGTGTGAAGAACAAGGCTGCGCCTGCTTGCCCTCAGTGAGAGGGGACCAGATATGAAGCAGAGGGCATTTCCGGGGGCGATCAGTGCCTGCGCGGAAACGAGTCTGGGCCTGGGGGCGGCCGTGCTCCGCCCGCTCATCTCCCGAGTCCCCCCCGACAGTCCCGCACACCCTCCCGCAGCGCGGCTTGCGTGCCCGCCGCGCCCGGCGCGGGGCGCGCGCCGCGCCGCCCCCCCCCCAGCCGCTGCGGACCGGACAGGACAGCACAGCCGGGTGCTCAGCGTCGCAGCCGTCCCCGCGCAGGTTCCGGCGGAGCGCGCGCCGGAGGCCCGGCAGGCTCAGTGTTGTCTGTTGCTCCTGGCAACAGCGGCTTCCGC